ATCCTAAAGGTCAGACGGTTTCCACGTGAACCTGGCTGATGAATAGGCTACAATTCTGGTGCAACTAGAAGAAACTATACATCCACATAAAACTTAACTTAAGAAGGTAACAGCAGATAAAGTTGGGTAAAGTGCATCAGTGTGTTAAAGAGGCCTGCGCTAAAGACTGGTTATTTAGTCAGTTGGTCCTACATCTGGGCATGGCATTTGTCTGAGGTGAGGGCTGTAAACTATGAGTGCAGTAGAGCTGTAAGGATGCAAACAATGATACAGTTTTCTCACAATTCAATATACATCTCAACATATGGGTCACAGCATCAGTACAATTTTGACATGTTTTAAGCCTGAGAAAGAAAATGTTTCCTATTTTTATGGTAATTAATATTAATCCTGTTATCTGTTCAAAATCAAATATAAGTGAAATAGGCCTTTATGAAGATGAAGCTTCTTGACAGAGGCATGTCACACTTTGTTTTCCATCCATACAGACTGATTTATTCCAGTGCTCAAACAGTTGCAAAGTTGTGGCAGTCTGCGCCCATAGGGCTCATAGCTTTGTCAGTTTTAAAAACTCAAATTGTAATGCTCGCTCAGTGCCATTTATTGTTTCACTTTTGAGATAGTTTTTTTTTTTCAGACTTGTATTTATTTTACTGGAGTATGGCGATATGCTTGGATCTCCCTACTTGTCTCCATCTCAGTTGAATATAATTATCATATATAGCCTATGTTATGATGTCAAGCCCAATTGCAATTATTATCTGTTTGTAACGCACCTAAACTGTACACTACTTTTTCGTTGTCTTTGGTAAGTATTTGTTCAAACTGAACGGTGATGACCACAAGGGGGAGCAGTGAACCTATCTATCGCTCTGTGTTTACGGGTAGGTTTTGGCTCTGAGTTTCAGTAGTTCACAAAGTGCCAGCAACCTGTTACATTAAATTAAATACTGTTTATTACTACTGGATCCAAAGGGCATGTGTGAGCTATGTACAAAAATGTTTTATTGCTACAACTTAATAATATGATTGGTCTGCACTCTGTAATATCTATCTGGTTCTTGTATTAAAGTGTGTATTCTTTTGAGGGGGGGGTGTCTGTCTGCTGAGGGGATTGATTTGCTACATTGTTGGGTTTAGTTTCTTTAGAGTAGGATATTTCAAATTCTGGGAATAAGTTATGTGGGATGGATTTGAGCTTGGTGGAGCTCCATTAGTATATGATGTGTGCATGTGTTGGATATGGGTGTGTGTTCTTCCTTTGGGTCTGTGGGATTTTGGCCCATAATTCCTGCAGCTCTCAGGTCACAGCTCCGTTCTCACGCACATATTTGGCATTCCTTCCCCGACATGATTACCATACACCTTCCACTCTTGGGTTTGGCTACGCGCAATATTTCCATCATTCCAGAGTGGAACTAGACCACGTTCCAGAACTGAACGGCTCACCCCGCCACTGCCATCTCCTAACGGTCTTCTCCAGCGCACACGCCCCTGCTCCCCATGACCCCTCTGTCTCCTCCTTGCACCAACCCCCTCCCGTGCTGATTTTTGCTGCCGTGGAACAGGAATCCTCCGGTCCAGCCTTTTTTCCTCCTGAGTCAGCTGTTTGTGTCGACTCGTATGATTGGGTCATTTGGCAGCGACATCTCTTTAGTGACCTCCCGCTAGGCATGGGAAGGAAGAGAAGGACCAAGGGCTAAAATGTATGATAGTTCAGCAATCTCCAGTACACATACACATTTCCAGTCTCAGGTTCAAATATTTCAAACGTTTTGAGTAAGTCTGGATAGTATATTGGTGTTTTTTTTTTTTGTTTTTTTTTAAGGAATTTAATATACAAGATTAGATTCAAGGCATTTTGGCAGGAATAATGGACAGTGACTGCAGAATCTGTTTGGTTTTGGTCTTTGTGTTTCTAGTTGGCTCAATTTGAAATAACACTGTTTAAAAAAGCAGTAATAAAGGTCACATAACTTCTTGCTGTAGAAATTATGTTGGATTTGCACCAATGCTCATATTCTATATTAAAATTCATGACTGTTCTGTAGTATTCACTTTTTCTACATGCATAGTTTTGAAAGCTTTGAATTATATCGCTGCAGATAACATTAAAGCACAATAATGTTCAAAGAAAAGGCCATATGGACATTGCCATATTACATAGTTTTGAGCCGTATCTTTATTTGTCTTTCCTGCCTCTAATCTATTTTCTTAAACTTGAGATAGCACTTTAAATCTGCTAAATGTCTAATTGCATTCTGTTTGGATTTTTTGGTATGAATTTTACTGAAAATATTACTAAAAATAATAGCTGTTGCAGCCTTCTGTGTTGTTCCTTGTGGTCACATGTAGTGCTGTTCCATCTATCAGATCAGGTGTTGCTTGATAACGACCAGTGTCTTGATTTTAATGCATTATTCACTGTATTATTATTCATAAAGACAATATGAAAAGTTGATAAAAACTTGAAAAGACACAATGTGGTAATGTTTCTGTAACGTTTACTGAGTCGAGAGAGACTGCTGCACACAGAGCTGAAATAAATAAAAGAAATAATTTTATAATTACAGTAACCATCGTAGTAAGTTTGCTTAATTAGGGTTCCTGTCTTCTTTCATATACATATATATATAATATATAATTTTTTCATAAATTGTTCCCTTAAGTTTTCTTTGTCCTGTGTGTATACATGACACTTTGGTTTGTTCCGCTGAATGTCTTGGTAGCAGCACTCTGTATCCATAGTTTCGTATGGGAGCATCATCCCTTGAGTCATTTCTATAGCGATGCTCATAGAGAAGGCACTCTCCTCACCGTCGCTGTGTGTCCTCAGGGGTCAGGTGAGGAGGAGGAGTCGTCACCTGTTGTCTTTGGTTGCTAGTCTTGTTTGGTTTGAGTGGCGCTGTTCATTTTTGGTACAGTTTGTTTTATACATTCCAGTTCTTTTAGCTTCAGTCCCAGCAGTGACTGTTTTTGGTCCCTTTCCCAAAGTCCCTTTACATCCAGCTTCACTTGTAGCTCCTGGTCTACACACACACATCATCTTTTACAAACATTTATTCAGAAACACCCTCATTATTTCCTCATTCATCATTTCATCCACACAGCAACCTCACTAACTAAGCAGTGAGACAAGTAAGTGCGTCACATGTCAATAGTCCATTATAAGGGGTAATGTCACACCCTTAAGGCCCCCTTTTTTGCATTATCAGCAAAGGCCTTCTGTTCAGTCATGGTTCATTAGAAATTCCATTTTGGTCTCTCTTCCATCACTTCAGAACAGTTCAGACGGTTGAGATCCGGAGGCCTGGGTAGTGTGGTGTCTTTGCCCAACCCAGATTCTATGTATTCAGAGATAGGTCCTTTGAATCAGTATAAGATGTCCAGCTGAAAATGTCTTTACAATAACATTCAGGGGTTGGAGTGGCAAAATAATAGGTGTAAAGCTATACCCCATGTATGATTCAACTCATTTCTAGTCAATGTTTGTCCCAGCAAAGGGAGGCCTCTGCCAAAGAGATGACCACATGTTTGGGGTACTCGAGTCCTGCTGCTAGCGGGGCCCTGTAGCGCGGACTCTCTTACTTCGTTTGCTGATGGTGGTGAAGCGGAACGGAGTGGTCAGGTCAGGCTGCTCCCCTGGGGGGAACCGCTTCATGAAGTGCACCTCCTGCTGGTTGGGGAGTGTGAGATTTCCACGGCGAGGGCGGCCTCGTTTTGTGAAGCCTACGTACCAACCAGTGTAGCGTGCTGACATCAGAGCAGTGTAGTGGTTTTCAAGCACCTTTTCCACAAAGACGCAGTCAGCGCTACGGTTACTGGCCTTCTAAAAGAGCAATACAAAGAAAGAGAGAGGCAAAGCCACTACTCATTTGTTTGTCGATTTAAATATTATATGTAAATACATTCTCCACATCTCAGCATCAGGCTTACCTTTCCCACCAACTTCCCTCGTCGGTTCATACACAGGTAGAAATTTGTTTCTTTGCCTCGGATTCTCACCTGGCTACCAAAGGTGTCGGCCTCCACTACAAGCTGGGCTTGTGAAGGGACATACAGAGGGGAAGTAAAACATTAGAGCCACAAGCAACACACTATGCAGTAATTCACAATGCTATGATTACATATTAACATTACATTATGTAATTCAAATAAGTCACTATTCAAAGCACCATACTAAATTAGCTGTTTACTTATAGGTAAGCATAACACAGTATATGTCTCAGATGATGGCCAAACATATATGGGGTTGTACTTGGTTGTGAGCACCTAATAGGTCCATAGCAGAGCGACTCATAGTTCCCTGGTTTACATGCATTTTGAAAAATTGGTTTAAATTGGACTAGGACAGTTATCCAGTTTTCCTGGCATGCATGTAAACATAATGACAGTGTCCACTCTGCTGTCATAAAGGATTTTTCTTTCTTGCACAGTAAACTACAACTACACAGGTCTTTATTGCACATCCACTTGGGGCTGTTTAAAAATAACTCCTGAAAATGGCTTCTATGTGACCTTTTTCACAAAGGGGTCAAGTAAATCAATACTGCTCGTTCATCTTCTTCCCTAACTCCTCACATCTCCCTTGTTTCATTACTATATGCTTATAGCAAGTGAGGACATGGATTAAAACTGTTCATTGTATTTACACAGACCTATTGCATATCACTGTACAATATGTGTTTGTTAAGGGTTAAAGGCACTGTGGCCGATGCAGTGGGGGATGGACAGAGCAATGTGAGGTGATGGAAGGAGGGAGGAAGAGGAAGCCTGCTGTTTTAAATCCACATGAGACAACAGGCGAGATGAGTAATCAATGCAGGGATCAATGATGGAGATGAGTTTCTGCACTCTGCCTGCCACAGCCTTCTCCCTTGAACTCACACATTTTGCTATACCTTTTCTCTTCCTCTGCTCTATGCTCCGTCTCCTCCTTCAGATCTCCTCTGAATCATTGAGTCAGCAGCTTGTCGATGAGCTCTTTGTGCTCTGAAGACAAGCTCCACTGCCCCTGTCTCAAAGCCTGCGAGGCCAGTCTATGTGGGCTTTTGTCTATCTTCCTGCACAGTTGCATTCTGTATCCATTCATGCATGCCCTTGTTCACCCCTCAACTCTTTGTACTCTCCACCATGAGACACTGGCTAAAATGACTTGGTTTATTTAGGAGGGAGAGTTTGTCCCCTTGGTCCAGTTGGTGTGTGTATGTGTGTTTGTGTCTTACCATATTTGTCCCCATCCTCTCCGCGAGCGCTGATTCTGCGACCAATGACTTGCACGTGTTTGCCACTGGTGCGGCTGTAGAGCTGGTAGACCCGGTGATGTTTGCGACTCATGGTGTCTCGCACCTGTGTCTGGTTCTCTACATGCACACTGAAGTTCACTCCATCCACACCAAGGACCTGCTACAAATAAATTACAGAAGAATACATGAATACAATGGGATTGGACGTTTGTTGATTAATCACAACTTTTAAATGGTTAAATAATTGATAGCTAATTTACTAATTGAATAATTGTTTACACTGCATAACAAACCATATACCTAGTGGTTATCTCTCAGTCAAAGCTGTAAGTACATGTCACTGTCACAAAAAACATGTAAATGTCATGCTTTTGATCAGAATGTCCATCACTTTAGCACAATCTTGATCAACTTCAGTAAAGGTCTTGTTCATGGGCCTTTCCCAGTCCTAAACCACTAATTGATCAAAAGAATAATTACTAGATTAGCAAAAATGATTGTTCGTTGCAGCTCTAGAATACTGAAATATACAACTTATACAACTGAAGTAAAAGTACAATGAACAGAACAGGTTGGTTTAGTTTATAGATAAAAACCAAAAGGACAAGATGAGTTTTCCTAATGTCACAAATGACATATAACAAAATAGGGAACATTTTTTATAAACTGTGGGTAAAATCCCACGCATTTTTTAACTTGTTGCAATAAAAAGCATACATTGTAGAATACATAATACAATTTTTGCACAGCCCATTTTCTCAAAAGTAACCTAATAAATTTACTTATACCCTGAGTGTGTATGACAACTGTGCAACTTGTCTTCTTACTGTACGCTCTTGGACTCTCACCTGTAAAGGATTGCACATCACCAGCAACATCTGGACACATCTGGAAAAAGTAGAAACATATGGCTTCAGAAATATGTAAGCAAAATTGGATGCTGGAAGAGTCATTTGTAACATAGTCATGTCCAAGTCTTTCTTCTCAGATGTTCTTTCAGTCCAACATCCCTTTTGCTTATTAGTCACTGCTGGGTGTGCAGCTGGCACAGCACCTCCACATCCATAGAGCCAGCAGACAGACAACACCCAGTGCGCTGTTTAGATTAACGCTACCATTCTTCTGCTCAGACCCATGTTCTGACCCATCTGTGACTTTCACTAAAATCTGGCCTCCAAATGACCTGCTTGGACGATGGTACATGGGCAAACATACCAGGACAACTAGAACATGTTTTGGTTTGGAGATCTGAGAAACCTGTTTGGCTCCACTGGGCCACAGGTGCACATTGCACTGTGTATGATGTGGCTTTGGGAGCAGTGCACTGTGGTCACATTTGGAGATGGTATGAATAAGTGAAAACACAAGTTACCAAATATGTGGAAAAATAATTTGTGGTGGAACTGACTGATGGAAGAGGTGTGCAGGCCAAGTATGCAGGTTCTTATCGAGAGACGTACTGTATACAGCAACTATATTATGGTTATTTACAAAAATGTATGACCTTAAGTGACCTTTTATGTAAACAGTTGGTCACAGTTACTTTTCTCACTCATATTTTGTACTACCTTATTAAAACTAAGACATTGACCTTGGAGGTATCCCAATATTTACAACCCTAGCAAGGGAGTGATATGTGTTGTGCAAAATCAACTTTGGCAGGCCTTGAACTGCTATGAATTAGTGGCTGAACACTTAATCAAGTTCAGGACAAAGTGTGTGGGCTGTAAAGCATTTCTGCGAAACTGTCTTTCCCCACCTCATCTGGCTATCACTCTGCATGCCTCTTCTACTCTTCCTCCGACTTGTTGTCCTCTCTAGCTTATCTCTTCTTCTCTGTCTTCTTCTCTTTTCTCCCCTTGCTCCAATCTCTCATGTGTTTGGAGTCGGTGGGGTGACTCCTCCACACTGTCATGGGCACGCACACAGATGTGCAGATGTGTGCGTACAGGAGCAGGCAGCTGACAGCTGGCCTAAAGCTAAGGCATATGCTTTGCTGAGAGAGAGAGATAGGGAGGACAGCGAGCCGCAGAGCAAGAGGTACACAAAGGGAGAGGCTGAAGACAGGACGGAGCAAGGTGGTGTAAACACTGCAGAGAGGAGAGACTGAAACCAGATCAGGCACTGGCAAAGAAAGGTCAAAAGCAAACAGCCTTCATCTCAGCAAGAAGAAATAAAGTGGCTAAATGAGAGACAGTAGTGTAACCACAGAGTGTGGTCTGGCGTGAGAAGTAGACAAAAAGATAAATAATGGTAAGAAAGAGGAAAGGGTTTAACTCATGCACATCATAACACATGCTGCTACAGCCTGATACACAGACATGGAGTTTTTCAAGTTTCCTTTCTCCTATTGATACCTTTTGGTTCCCATAGCTCTAATACATGCAGGCATATTGTGGGCATTGCTAGTATTCTGGTGCTCAATTTTGCCTGCACAGCCCAAAAAATCGGAACGCCTAGCATTATGAGAACTCTCAGCTGTTCAAACACCACGGCTGTACTAACGCCGAGGACACTGCAGGAAAAGTGCCTCTGCATTGGATTCCCTGCTCCCACAAAAACCACAGACACTCCATATTATGCCAGTTAGAGTAGCGGGGGAGAGGGGAGAGGGGAGAGAGAGACAGGACTGGGCTGGGAGGGGGAGGGATGAGAAAGGGGCAAAGTAAGAGTATAGGCAGAAGAAGCTATAGAAGGAAACCTGGTGCACTTTGGATGTTTGCCAAAACAAGCACAAGTCTGACATCATAAACCTGCGTCCCAGCAGATCCAGCTTGAGGCTGTGGTTAAACTGCAGGCCTTTAGAGCTGAGCACTGGGCTGTAGCCAGGGGCTGGCTGTGTTTGGGCTGCGTGTAGTGGTGGTTAGCGTGGTACACCGACAGAACAGCAGTGGGCTTGTGCACAGAGACACATGTAGCTGAGGAGTGGTGAGGCCAGTGGGCGTGAGGCTGGGATCATGTGGGCCTTTGGTTGAGCCGCGGTGAGCCTCGACAAGGAGCTGCGGCTTCACAACAGCACCAGGAACAGGCCGCTGTGACACCAGGACCACATTCTCCTGCTGCTATCACAGAGGTTTGGCTGAAAGAGCTACTGCAAATGCTTCATCCTGAACTGCGCCAGAGCATCATTCATCAGTTATTAATTCATACTCTTTATCTTTACTTGTACCCATGGAAAAAATGAGGAATAGGCAAGACAGGAAGACAGATGCAGGCAGTTAGGAGGGTAAGTGGAGAGAAAGTGAGACAGACACCAGCAGCAACAGCGGCAGCACACACCCTGTCCAGATTGTGTAAGGAATGAGAACTATCTAGAGATGACTGCCATCTGGGAGAAGTACAGCAGAGACAAAGAAAGAAAAATAAATCGCTTGGCTTTTAACAAGGCACACCTCAGATGGGTAAAGTCGCCCCCTCCTTGAACTGGATGCTCCTCCCTCACATTTGCACTTGGAACTTTATCATTTTCCCATCCTACCTTAAACTTGCTGCTATTTTGACACAAACATATTTTCTGTTGGAAAGAGAAGCATTTTGGCAGATGGAAAGCAACTCTCTGTAAGCCCCGTCCCACTGAGGCATGAGGATGGTGATGGAGATGTTTATGGCAGATTTTATGACTTACACAGCCCCGACTCTGACCTAGTGACCCTGAACTGTCAGCCAATCAAGCAAGGCCTTTCATTGCATGTTTTCTATGGGACTGTTGGGCAGTGATGTAATCTTTAGATGATGCATGCCCTTCATCATCTATTTATTAAATCACTTTGAACCAAACAGACCTGTGAAATAATTTCACTACAATGTAACAGTAACAGTAACTTACAAGACGGTCAGCATGGAAAGAAGGGGCCACATTGCTTCCCCCCTCCACTATGGACTTTGGCCCACAGAGAGTCTCCTCGCTCGCCTTGAGCCAGTCCGACGGTCTGTGTCTGGAATCCGCAAAGTCAAAGAGTCACTGAGCATCGGCGGCAACGTGACCCGGTTCAACCGGCGTGATACTAAGACGTGATCCTGTTTAAGGCTGGCTGGGGTGAACGCGTGCCACCGTGACCGACCGGCAACCTCTAACAGCTGTCCAGGGCAGAGCAGGGGAGACGGGTGGGAGGGGGAGCAAAGGGGGAAGGTTATGGCTTTTAAACACTGCGCGTCCCCGAGTTGGAAAGGAACAGGTGAAAGCGCGCTCACGTCTTACATGTAACCAGCTCCAGCTGATCTCTCAGAGTGATTTTCAAACCTGTAAGCAGGTGAAGTCCGTGCGTAAACTTGTGCGTAATCCAATGTTCCAATGTTAGGGGCTTCAAGTAGTGTCTCAAAATAACAAGAAACTTTAGTCCACATACAACTCGGTTGATGCGCGATGTGATATCAAAGCTGACTTTTGAACGATCCGATGAGCACAAGACGGGGGCTCTGAAGGCGCGGGGTCCCCGGTCATGACTGCGTCTCCACGCTGACTCTACGGTTCTGTTCGTCAGGTGACACCTACAGCGGGGCAGAGGAGACTTGTTGGTCCCGCAGCGGTCCAGCTCCAGCGTTCTCAAAAAGAATGGGAGGGGAGAATAAAGGGCAGAGAAAGCCCAGGATACGAGGGAGGGGTGCCTGAAGAGGATGGGAACAGCTGTGACTGGGTGGCGGACTCAGCCACCCGCGACACCGCGAGGAAATGACAGCCGCACTTTGCACCTGATTTTCCGGACTTCCCCCACTCGCCTCAGCCGATGGTTTGCGCCCGGCTGCACCGTTCCTCCTCGCGCCCTCTCGACACAAAAACAGCCAAAAAACAGCACGATGACATCACCTCCGAAATGTTTGAAGGGGAAAATGAAAGCCGATCTTCTAATTTACTTATAGGTGCCCCAATGTGTAGTTTCCGTCTGTAAGGTCGTAGTGTGTCAGCAAAAAATACAAAAATCAGGATAATTAAAGTTGCAGAATGTTAAAGTTTTGCGCGCTATTAACTGTTAACTTGAAAGCACTCACAGGACGCTCCGTGGTTCTAAGGCTTCCTCTCCTGAAAATAAATCCGCAATAAAAGCTGGTGATGCACCTTTTATCCAAATTACTGTATTGTCCAGATGTGTTCGTCTTTCCAACTATTCCACGTTTTCCTTCCTCTAAAAGCTCCTCTTGTAGGGGGTTGCGCAGAAGAGGTGCGTCGGCAGGCACAGACCTCACTCCAAGAAAAAACAGAACAAGATTTTAACAGACGCGGATCAATCCTCCCTCCCTCCCTTTGCGCCCCCTCCCACAACTCACTCTCCTCGCTCTGCCTTTGACACGCACGCACGCGCACACTTATTGGATCAAAATGGGATTAGTCAATCACCCTGTATGCCGACTAAACTTTTGTTTAATATTATGCATTTTGTTGTGCTTTCAACATTTAAAAAAACTAAAGAGAAGATACAAATAATGCGAATTGTAAGAGATTAACAATTAAATAGGGTTTTGTTTTTACAGAAACACGAAACATGTGAATTGAAACACCCGGACACCTGCCCCAGTCAAATGCATATATTGTCAAAGATCACTGTGTGGGGCTGCTTGACCTATAGCCTGCTGTTTTAGCATGTGTCATTGTAGGGCTTTATTGTGGCTTTGCATTTCATAACTTTTAAACATCTAAAGACAAAAATAAAACGGAGAAAGAGAGACAGTGGGGAGTGGGAGAGACAGTGTATGCACAGATCGGGATCCAAAATGAACATTTCTCAGGGATTTTCTTTAGCAGAAACACTCCGCTCCCCCAAAACTTTTTTTTTTTTTTTTCTTTCAGTACCACACAACTGCAGACGGTCTACCAAGCCAAAAAACAGACTTGCCATACCTTTCCACACAGATGCACAGAGAGATGGGTGCTGAGAAGAACAATAAAGAGTAACACTTTGGATGGATAGAGGTGGGAGGGACCGTTACCTTGGATGGTCAGGCTTTTCTTTTCATTGTAATTTCAAATGGCACACACTCACAGACGGCAGGCTGGGATTGCGAACACTCTCACACAGACTGAGCCGCCTGGGAAGGGTATTGTGGTTGAATGCCTTTCCAGTCATGCTCCATAGACAAGCCTTTGGCCTTCTTTCCAACTACTGGCTCTGTCAGCCTTTGCACCTGCAAGAGCAGACCTTCACTGCTCACCGCACTGCTGCAAGGGACAAGAGTGTAAATGTTGTGGAGAGGGATTTGAACCGCATTTTGTGATGAGGAATGGGCCTGTCTGCTTGTCTTAAACCCAGATGGAGGGGTTCAAAATGAGGACTAAACCACATCTTGGTACAATGTGGTGGATGAGTAAAAACAAAAGACCAATTCAGCTTTCGTATACAGTAGAGTGCTACTGACAAGAACCATATTCTATAATCTCTCTCTTCAGTTTAACCAGACCTTGTTTAAATAAAGTTACTGTATAATAATTCTGAAAATTCACTACAAAATGCATATAAGATCTTATTATCATTAGTAACAAATTCCTGGAGAGCATCACACATTAAAAGTTCACACGGCCATTGTATTGAACTTATTGCACTTATAGCAATATAGTTGATGTGATTTATGTTGCAGTATTATATAATGAAATTTAATAGTTCATAACAAAAGTAGCAAAACAAGCAGAAAGCAAAAACTTTTGATGTATCATAAAACGTTGTTGTAATGAACAACAAGGCATTGTTCATTTTGCTTGTCACAGCACTTTTTTCTTTCATTGTACATCCTTGTATCTGCCTGTTTAATCTTTCCAGCTGTTTTTTTATCTTCTCACTTGGTCCCTTCTTCTGTTGACAGCCGCCTATTGATTACCTTTGCCTTTGCCTCTGCGGATTCTGCCTATTGATCCTCTCAAACACTCACGTTCACACATGCACATCCCCATGTGCACACATGTATGTCCTTCTATCCTGCAACCCTATGTCCCTGTCCACAGTAGATTTTTAATCTACCAGTGTGAAACATTATCCAATATATAGAAGACAAGTTTTGAATATGCTTTCTTATGCTCAATGGACTTCCATTGATAGTTGCTCTGCCTTTGTGCTTGCCACTATCATTAAACTGAATGGGAGGTGTGTGTCTGTCTAGAGCAGACCGAGTTGGTGTACAGTGGGATTTGGGACATTTTCTGCTTTCTTCTGCTCTGGCCCTTCTTCACTGAGGCAGCTCCGTCAATATGGCTATTCAGTCTGGCAATTAACATCGATCAGTCCTTGTCAATATCGTCAGCGCCCAGACAAAGACCCAAGGTGCACTGCATGTGCTTGCCCTTTCTCTATCAGAGTCCAACAAATCCCTAAACACCACTCTCATTATTTGAGGGCATTCTGGTCTGACCTCAAGGTCGCTGTGAAGGAGAGCCATAGTGTGCTGGACTCTGCTGCTATGGATGACTGAATTGGAACCTAAAAGAAAACTCTCACAGTTTTGGATATCAGGCTGCAACCGTTAGGCCAGGTTATGTGTGTCTGTGTGTGTATGTGTGTCTTCAACAAGTCAAGTTTAGATACGCCTGAGCTTGGACTCAGTCAAACACAAGTTGGCAGACAAGCAATATTGTCTTCCCGCTGTGCACTCTGAAGTGTGAGACACTTTGAACACTACAAATGCAATCCATCATCTCAGTGACACACTGGAGATGTGGACTTTTCACATGTGTCAAGTGCAGTGGATTGGCTCCAATTAGTTTGTATATAAAGCATGTGCTGAATGTGTTTGGATGTGTGTATGTTGGAGAGGCTGGCTTGTGGTTTGATTAATACCTGCAGACATGAGCCCTAAAGCTCACTTCAGATGTTGAGATGTCAGGCTTACATTGCATTCTGAGATAGATATCTTTGCTCTATTAATCATGGGCCAACTTTTAACGGTTCCCCAATGTGTAAATGTATGAGACACGTAATAAGGCTCTTTGATGACAAGAGGCCTGTGCAAAGTGGAAGAATGTGTTGGGAAAGCACACTTTGAAATGGGACCTGTTTGCCACTTGTCTGCATCTGGGAGATGAGAGTACTGACAGCTGCAACAAAGTCAAAGCAGGAATTAATTTGCAGTGGAACATTTGAGATTGTGAATGCCAGATGAACAGAAGAGCTAAATATTGTATTTATTAGCAACAATGTTGGTGGTGTCTTAGCTACATAATGCAGTGGTAATGAATGCTTACTCCTTACTGTATCTTTAAATCGATTGCAGCTGCTGTCTTGATTTTTAAGCCAGCAACTAACCATCCTCAATGTGAGGATTTACTCCTTTTTCTTGTAATGTTCAGGCAAAACTGGCTAGGGTTGTTTCATGAAATAAGTAACAACAACAACAACAACAACAACAACAACAACAACAACAACAACAACAACAACAACAACAACAACAACAACTACTACTACTACTACTACTACTACTACTACTACTACTACTACTACTACTACTACTACTAATAATAATAATAATAATAATAATAATAATAATGTTTAAATACAAGCAGCAGATAATGATCCATTCAGTTTTAATGCAACAATATCAAACTTCGGACTTGGACACATAGACTTGTTGTGTGTCTGGTTCACTTTTTCTCTTCCTCAAATTGTAATACAGAAAAGGGGAATCCTTCTTGGCAGCTCTGGCTACTTCTTACAAGAGTGGTGCATCAGGTCCTCTGTCAGTCTGTCACCATGTGATTGGCAGACCCTGGTCCGTACTCTGCCCTGTATGTACTTGCTAATTGCTTTTGACCAATGGACTTGTGCTTCCATTTGTAGTGCTCAGTGCCTGCTGGATGTTTGTTTAATTATGGTACTTGTGGTTGTGTGTTTGGTTGAGTGAGTGTCATGACCCGCAGTGACAGACTGAATGCAGCTGAAAGTTGTGTGTGGTTTGCGGCTCTAGTGTGAATGCGTATGAGTGTGCAAAGACTGTGTCAACAAGGT